TTAACCATTTTTGACATGTCAATTATCTTGCTAACACGTAACATAATTAGGGTATTTTAGATAATATAAAACTCAAAACTTTGCTCCATATGAATTGGGTAATTATAGAGTTTGCACGCCAAACATTTGGTTCGATTACCATCATTGTCTTTGGTCAACTCCGAAATCATATTATTATTTACCATCAACTTGATATTTAAAAAGCATCAAAGTAATTTCATTAACCGAAATAATGGGAAGAAAAACGAAAAGTAACAAAAGAAAGGTAAAAGAATTTTTTTTAAAAAATGGAAGGCATGTGATGAGATCTATTGGCAGGCACTAATGTCAACAGGGTTGACATGGTGTGATGATGTGCACGTGTGACCATCTCATGTGAAAAGAAAAAGGGTAAAATTAAAATGAATAAATGAAATATAAAAGCATAGGATTTTCATATTTTGAATGATTAAGAAAATGCCACCATGATGCAGAGGAGGGCCATGCCAGTTCATGGAACCGAGTCATATAAATACTTTTCAAATTTATATAATCTACAAAGGATTATGCCATGTTGTCACTAACCAACTTGTGAACTTGATCATATCATAGTGAATAGTACCATTTATTGTTAATGAGAGAGAAAGAAGAGAAAGAAAAAAAAAACATGAACCACTAATGCTGCTGATGGATAACTTAGTTGCTCTTTTTTCAAAAAAATAAATAAAAATAAAAAGGTTTAGGAGCTTAAAGGGGATTTGACTGAGATTGCAATAATTGAAGAGTTGTTTTCATCAATTAGGTTTGATTATGCCATGTCTTATGATTAATGTCACTGTGTAAGATTAGACTATTTGAGAATGTTATTAAGTAGTATTATTAAGGGTATAAAAAAATTCAAACCAATTCGATCTTATCAATAAACAAATTGATTCATATTTAAAAAAAAAATTCTCTTTATATTAAAAAAATTATTTTTTTTAGAAAAATTTGAACTTTCACTTTATAAATTCGGTTCGAAAATTCATGCAATTTTAATATAATAGACTGAATACTCAAATAATTTATTAACATGGACTGATTGATATTTGGACCAAATTCAATCATGACAAGTCTGTCATAAAATATACAGTATAATTTATTTAACTGAAATAATAGAAAAACTTAAAGTACGTTAACAACAACTTTTTTATACTGTGTTATTATACGCATTAATCGATATGTGTAAATATTATCTCCTATTTCAATTATATTATTTTATCTAATAACTTAGAAAGTAATTAAGTATGGTTAATAAAAACAAATTAATTTTATGTAAAAAAATAACTATTTATTAAATAATTTTATATGATTAACCATTAACAAATTATTATGCACGATAAGTCCATTGATTTTTTTTTTATAATTATCTTAAAAGTTATATTAATAATTATACTTAGCACCTTCTAAATTCTTATTAAGAGATGAAAACTTACTTTTCTCCTTCTATAAACTTTGAAATCCTTTGAATCAAGTGAATACATGTAATAATATTTAAACTATTAATAGTAAAATAACAACGTTTCGAATAAATGATGTAAAAATGTAGTTTGTTTACATTGTAATTATGTCTCTTTTAGATATTTCCTTTGATTCTCAATATAAGAAGATAAAATATATATTTGCTAGTTTTAAAAATAAATAAATATCAACTAACTTTACTTTATTTAGTGTTATTATCTCAAATATTTTTTTTTATTTAATTAAGATTATATTTTTAATAATCATTATTATTCTTAGTATCAAGTTTCAAGAAAGAGTAATTTAGAGGAGGAAAAAATTTCTTAAATGAGATTAGCTATTAAATGAGATTAACTAACTTTTATAATTAGCATTTTCCTTCTTTTTTTTTTTTTGGTTTATATTAGGACTAGAGAGTACGAACGAGAATTGGTAATGTTAAGTTAGACTTTAATTACATAAGCTTTATCTGAGATATAAAATTCATACATGATTATAACCTATTATTTATTATAGATGTTTTGTAGTCTTGATCTGATCTTATTAAAAGTTAAATCCTATATTATATTAAAAATATTAAATAGACTTAAAATAACTTAATTTTAATAGGTCAACAAGAATTTTTTTAATTTGCATATAATAAAAAAATTATTTATATAATGACTCGATAAGTCATTACACTTTACATCTTAACGCTAAACAATGAAAAACATAATTTAAATACTTGGCATTGCCATGCAAACAATCACTAGTGAAATTATATTATATATATATATATATATGTGTGTGTATAAAACTCAACAACTTAAAATAATAAAAGTGTAAGTTCCTTAGTGGGACTACAACTAAAATATGTACACATGATCACACACGTATACATATACAATAATCCAAACTATAAAACATAAATCTTAGGTTACCGGTCAAGCAGCTACTATACACAATTGTGAAAGTACTACTCAATAACACATGTCAACGTATCAACATTCATAGATTTCAACTTTCAACACAACTTGTTAACTCATCATGTTAATAGTAAAGCAACTTAAACAATACTACAATGTAGTAACACAATAGTACAATGCGTTGTCACACATTCTAACTAAGAAATATTTTACAACGAGGTAAACTGTCTAAGTGACTTAACCATATCAAACTAACTTAAGAACACAATTTTTTTGGATTTGTTAGATCAACAATGAAATTGGATATCAATTCACAACACAACATGATTTATCGAATTTTGCTTCTTAGACTAGGAAAGCCTATTATCTCCATCAATAGTAAAACACCTTAGGCATGAGTAGGGATTGGCAATGGGGCCCCATGGGGGCGGGTAATAGTAAATCCGCCCCCGCCCCGCTAGATGAAAATTGTCCATATACCCACCCCATATCCGCGCGGGTATCCATTGAGCGGGTATCCATTGAGCGGGTATCCATGAATTTCTTCAATAACCACGGATATCCATGCATGAATATTTATAAATTTTCTAAGAAATTAAAAAAATTATATTACAAATAATTTTATGTCTATATTTAATATCATTGAAATATTAAAAATAAAAATTCAATGTTAATTTTGAACTTGTATTTAACGTTAATTTTGTTGAAATAATAATAAAAATGTAAGATAATCAATGACTTAAAATACATCAATCTCACAAGTAAGTTAAAGTCTTATCACCAAGCTACAATAATTCAATCTCATAATTCCAAACGAAAGTAAACAATTTAAAATACATAAATTTTATTGGTCCAATCAAAGCTAGAAAATTAATCAAATTATATCCAATATAATTCTATAACATGTTTAATACATGTTGGTAACTTCATCAACTTCACTTTTGTAAGAAAATAAGACAAGAGAGTGTAGTTTTAGGGTTATGTGGTACAAGAATAATTAGGATATTTAAGAAATATTATTAAACGGGTACCCGCGGGTATGGATATCATCATACCCGCCCCCGCCCCATTTATAAACGGGTAAAAAATTATCCGTTCTCATTATCTGCGGTACCCAATTAACCTATCCATCTATTATCCGTAGCGGATTTTACCCACAGATACCCGCGAGTGCGGGTATTTTTGCCATCCTTAGGCATGAGCTTACTACGACCTTAGTATGCATAACTATATCTATGTTGAATTAGCCCACTGACTACCTTTAATAAATTGCACACCTTTCAATACTAAGTTAAGGATTTTAGCCTCCAACCTTGTATCTTACTCGATTGGTCACTTCTAAACCAATATGACTTAACTTTGTCCCCACGATATCTACTAAGAATATAGGAGAGATTCAAAATTTATATTCCTCTATCATAAAAAAAATTCATAACTCTTTTTTTTTTTTTTTTTTTTTGTAAATTGACACATCTAAAATATTTTTGTTGCTGATATTTATACAATCAATTTTGTTTAATTATGATTTTAATTATATAGATTTTTTATTTTTAAAATTTATGGTTTTAATTTTTAATCTTGATTATTTATATAACTGATTTATGATATTTTATTGATAATTTTATTTTTTATAAACTAAAATTTGATGAATGATGACTAATAATATTTTTTCATTATTTTTAATGTTATTATGATGTATAATGTTATTTTTTAAAATATGTAGTTACTTTTCTATTTTTATTATATTTTCAGCTAAAATTTAATTTGTAATTTTTTTAATATATAACATCTCTCACGTATAATGTATAATGTCTTTTAGGTATTTAAATAATTATACATTCAAACACTTTAAAATTGTACACGTATTTGTTAGCATGTATATCTAAATGAAATAAATATTAAATTTTAAGTCCTTATAAAACAAGTTCTTATTACATAAAAATTTATTAAATAAGTTACTTATAGAAGTAAATCTTAAATTGATTTTTCTTTAAAGAATCAAGTCTAGTTTTATTTTATTTTATTTATAAATTCTTATTTATAGTTTGACGTATTCTCATTCCTACATATATTAAAAAAAAGTTTTTTTTCAATTAAAAATCTTTATGAAAATATTAATAATTTTTAATGATAATAATAAATGGTATAATATGTTACAAATTTTTTTTCAAAAATCATAATGAAGACATTATTTTATTATTAATAACAATAACAAATTGGATAGAGCGTTATTCTTTTATCATTGGCGAAAAGATCGGCATGTAATCGGTGGTATTTGACTTGATTCAAAAGTATGTATATGGAGTGCTTGGCCATGTCTGAGGCTACGAGCGTAAGATATTTGACACATTTGACATATCTACCAAAATAATAATTTTTGATTAATAGATAATGTAAAATAGAGTCGTAATGCACCTCACTGAATAGATAATAATGGTATAGTAATACAGTGATTAGGGGAAGGGTTTTGAGAAATGAGAATGGAAAGAAAGGGCAATAAAGGAAGAAAGACATGATGATATGATCGGATCCAATCCAAGTAAATAAAGCAAAGGAAAGGAAAGCAAGAACTTTTTCCCATTCAACCAAAACGTGCTTTTATTATTAAATAATATGAAAATGGTTTGAAAATGATTTCAATTGATGGCTTTTACCCTGTCTCTCTTTAATCTTTTGGGTAAAGGAGCCTAAAAAAAGAGGTCAAAATGCAATGCTCTTCACTCACAACTCACAACTCACAAGCATTCGTTCACCATTCACCATTCACAAATCTTCACCACCTCACCTCAACGCACACACTCCATGGCCGCCAACAAAACACGAATGACTAAACAACGTCAAACAACAACAACATCATCTTCAATAACCAAACAAATGGCTTATATTTAACCCACCCACCTCGCTTTTCGTGCACCGTTTCTACTTTTCATAAAACCCCACTTCCTCTTCTCTCTCTCTCCAACCAAAGCTCGAAGCTTTTCGCCATTTCAGATCTGGGTCGCACCATTTCTCGGACATGGGAAGCAAGTGGAAGAAGGCCAAGGTCGCGCTCGGCCTCAATCTCTGCATGTTCGTTCCCAGAACCTTAGACGACGATTCGCCGCCGCACACGGTGATTTCCGAGCGCTTCTCCGACGCCGCTCTGCTCTCGCCGGCCAACTGGGACACCGCCTCTTCCCGGCCAACCACGCCGGCGACATCTTTTCACGGTTTGAAGCTCTCCAAAAGTAGCAGCAAGTCTTCAAAGGTTTCTGTCTCTCATTACTCATTTCATTTTCAACCTGTTACTCTCTCTCTCTCTCTCTCTCTTTCTATCTCTATCCGTGTACGTTTTTTTTTTTTTTTTAAACTATTTTTACAAGTTCTGTTTTGTTTGGTTGGCTGTAAAAGTTAATGAACTATAGAAGGAATGAATCTGAAAGTTGTATGCGGAAAATGGGATTTTTTTTTTCACTGTGCTAAGAAATTGGCTCTGGGTTATTTTTTAAGGAAAAAAATAATTGGAATGTTTTTATGGTTATAATATTTTTGCGCGGATGGAATGATTTGTTTTTAGCGGATTTTGATATTTTAATGTACTGTTTTAGGTAAACGACCCTTGTGTTATTGGCATTTTTTTTTCCAGCTACGAGGGTTTAATTTAGAATGGACTAGCTTTTTGTTGCCGGGAAATATAGGCTGTTTGTAATTTAGTTCCTGATTTAAAATTGCTGTTCGATTTAGTTGTGAAGTTTTTGAATTCGTTGGGGGAGTAATGCAAATTGCGAAATGAGTTTTTGAATGATTTCTATAATTGTACGTGGTGTTTCTATCAGGGACTAAATTGCAAGGTGGTATGATTTTTGGGGACCAAAATGCCATTTTAGTAGCTTGGTTCCTTGTATTGATTTTGGCTTTGTTTGGATAAACTTTTTTAATAAACATTTATGGAAAGAAAAATGAAGGAAGTTTCTTCCATATACACGAGCTAAATTCAGCTTTTTGGAGAATCTAAATGATTTTAACTTCTTCACAAAGCTTATTTTAACTTTCGTATAAAGTAATTGTGGTTTATAGTAAAAGTTTATTTGAACAGGGTCTAAGCTTATTTTAGTCCATGAGAGAAGCTTATTTCGTTTTTACTTCTTATTTTGTTTCTTTAGTCTCTTTCGTGCTGCTCCGACATGGGGTATAGAGCTGTGCTTTCTTGACTTATTCCAATAGTGTATGCGCATGACATGTGATTTTGAAGTTGTGAAAATTTGTGCTTTTGATGCGTCCTAATCTGATATTACTGTTTCCTGCCTGCTTCAATGCCCCTTCTTGTGGATAAGTTTTTTCATTATTTTCCTTTCTATTGGCCAAGCAGATTTTTTTTCCTTTCTAAAAGCCAACATGATATGATATATTCGTTGCCTTGTTCATTTAGTCTAGTCATATTAGCAGTTTTTGATGACTGTGGTTTGTGGCAAAACTGATTTGCTGAATATTCAATTTTATGTGATTGGAATACTTTTGGGCCGGTGTAAATGATGCTTTAGTCCCTTTCAGGAGTATTCAGATTTTCCTGACTAGACATGATTAGATTTTTCACCATCCCTCTAAGCTCGGCATATGAAATGGTTATTGCCTATTGGAGATCTTATGAAAATAATAGTTGAGCCTTATTTTGACAAAATGCTAGAAATGAAAAAGAAATGAGAATGGGAAAGGGGGATTTTTTAAATCGATATATCATTGCATTGCCCCCTTGCCTTTTCAGAATAGCTTGCTTCAACAGTATTATTAAATAATGGTACAAGATGATATTCTATCTATTTAATTTTTTTTTCCCATTATGCACTTTATATGTTGAATTTGAATAGCTAAACACTCAATTTTGGAAAATTGAAATGCAGATGATTTTTTTATTTTAATTTTTTAATTTTGTATATCAAATTTGATTGTCGCTTTATAGTGGTGCAAGAATAGTATAATCTATTTCATGTGGGAAGCTTCAAATTATAGAATTAGTCCCAGAATTTGAAATAATATAATAGCTAGATACCGTGACAATTATGATAAGAGTCGGTATTCCTGCTGG